ATACCCCAGGAATTCTTTCCTTTTGGCAGTCTTTTTTCTGTGTTCAAGGCTAGAAGTAGGCAAGTAGAATTAGTTGATTGCTGCAGTGAATTTTTAAGACTTAATAAGACCAGTATGTGCACTTTTGGTGCCATTTCTCTATTGCAGCTGAGTAAAACAGTATTTAGTTGTACGTTTGCGCTTTTCCGTTACTCTGATGAAATATTTCCTGGGACTGAATATACAGTCACATCTGTTACGCAGAGGTAGGTGGCAGAACGTTAATTTGACACACTGTAAAGTGTGCTGTGAGTTTAATTAAACAGCATATCTGAAATACTTCAGTGTCTTTACATTCAAAAAGTAGTAATCACCTATGGTCTAGATGTTTTCTAGGACACGATTTTCTCCCCTACTTCTGCTGATTGACTTTGTCAGTAATTCATTTGGTACCATTCTCTTGAGGCTTTGACAGGTCATTGTGTGAAGAACACTCTGCAAACGTAGCCTTTCCTGAAACGATTGAGCAGAAAGCTCAGCTTGTCTCATCAGCTCACTTTTTAATAACACAGTACTTGTGACCTGCCAGCTTTATGGAATATAGTTTGGTAATACAACACTGTTTCACCTTCTACTTTTCTGTGGTGGGTTGTTTTGGTTTTTGTTGTGGGTGTGTTTTCACCCCCCTTCAGGAAGTACTTATGTTCAGTTTTTTTCACTCTTAATTGCTAATTTCCAGCTTTTGTGAATTCAGCTTCATTTGGTTCAGGAAACAAGAGTCCCATAGTTCTTCGTGATTTTTCATCCTATTTGTAGAATTACTAAGCAGAAGGAAAGTGAATTTGTCTTTTCAGAACCGTTTGTAACACTCAAAAGTCACGATCAACTGCATCTGGCTAACAATATAGAATGGGTCACTCTGAAGCCTTTTTTTTCTTACTCCATTTGACTGGGATTTGGTACTTAGCCTTGACTCCTGTTGATGTTTTCCCTCACCCCCCTTCCCTGTCGTCTGGTGTGTTGTAACTACAAAAATTTCAAAAATGTGAAAGACTTTGACTGGTTTGTATACTACTGACTGTTTCACTAATCAATATTTAATATGGTTTTCATAGGATATGTAACATGACACTGATATTCTGGACAGGTAATTTTCATTGTTTGAAAACCTTACGTAATAAGGGGAATCAGGTAACTGCTAGAAATGAGCACCTTATTTATTTTTTTAAGCATCATATTGCCAAGGATCTGTTTTGTGAAATCTGTACTTGAAAAACCTATAGCTGCTTACTGTTGCAGTTAGCATCAAAATAGTTTGGAAATTGTCAAAGTGAATTTAATATTTAAAGGGACACTGTCACTTTTCTAAACTGAATTTACATCCTGGTTCTAAAAACTCGTTGATTATTGCTCCCTTACAGAAAGTTTGTAGTGCTCTTTGGTGGAATTCGGAACAATATTAAAGGCAGTGAAGCTAGTTCCCTTTGGCTTCTCCTTCCTATCTTCTGTGTGCACATGCCTGCTTGTTGCCTGTTGGGTTGCAGCTTTGCTATGGCTGTGTGCAACCCTCTTGCAGAGCCTGGGGAAGAGTGTGCATGCTTGCTCTCTCCAGAACAGCGCATGAGTGGTGTGGTCATGCTGGTGCATGAGGAGAGTGCAGTTACTGTCAGTGCCACTGGCTGCAGGTGAAGTGCTGCTACCAAATAGTTACGATGATGGTGTTTCTTACCGGATCTTTTCTGTTTGCTTATGAGCTGTGAGAGTTAACTACGTTTGTGTAGTTAATGTGAGAATTTCACTATGTAAAATTCTAATCTCCTGCATTTGACTGTGTCCCTTTAAACTCTACACATCAGAATGTATAGCTGCCAAATCTGTATGTACTTACCCTGAGCAGTGCAGTTGATTCGCTGGAGGGAAGGGATGCCATCCAGAGGGACCCTGACGGGCTCATGGAGTGGGCCCATGCCAACCTCATGGAGTTCTGCAAGGCCAAGTGCCATGTCCTGCACCTGGGTTGGGGCAGTCCCCAATGTCAATACCGGCTGGGGGATGAATGGATTGAGGAGCAGCCCTGCAAGAGAAGGACCTGGGAAGACGGGGATGAAAAATCAGGCATGAGGCAGCAATGTGCACTTGCATCCAAGAAAGCCAGTTGTAGGCAAGGGTACAAGAAACATGTGGACCTGTTGGAGCAGGTCCAGAGGAGGGCCATGAAAATAAGCAGGGGGCTGGAGCACCTCTCCCATGAAGACAGGCTGAGAGAGTTGGGGGTGTTCAGCCTGGAGAAGAGAAGGCTCCAGGGAGACCTTAGCAAGGACTTTCAGTATTTAAAGGGGGCTTATAAGGAAGATGGAGAGAGACTTTCTGCCAGGGTCAGTAGTGACTGGACAGAGGGTAATGTTTTTTAACTGAAAGAGGGTAGAATTTTTTACAATGATGGTGGTGAGTCACTGGAACAGGTTGCCCAGAGAGGTTGTACTTGTCCCATCCCTGGAAATATTCAAGGTCAGGCGTGACAGGGCTCTGAGCAACCTGATCTAGTTGAAGATGTCCTTGCTTACTGCAGGAGGAATTGGACTAGATGACCTTTAAAGGTCCCTTCCAACCCAAACCGTTCTATGAAACAATCCTGAAAAGGGTATTTCTTGGTAAAGTCCTCTAAAATGAAGTACTTGGCAGCAGAGGGCAAATGGAAGTTAACATCGTTAAAACAATGTTCGGTAAGAAATAAACGATATTAACATCCCTGTGTATAACTACAGCTCAGCTGAACCTGGCAGGAGTTAGAAATTAGATTTTTTTTTTTTTTCTTCCCACAGATCTTAAATGAAACAGTGTTAACTGATTTTTGTGATTATATGTAGTTGTGTATGTATAGATATAAAACTGTTTAACACGTCTGTGTATGCGCACAGAGTTTGGTGCTTGGGGGCTTAAAAAGTAATCCTGAACACTGCAGAAACAAGTAAACTGAAAGCCATTGGGGGAGTGGTTTCCAGTGGAGATAGGAATGAGGGTGGAAGAGAGGAGATTGTACTCACGTTTGATCATATTTAGGATCTGATCATGTTTTGAAAAGAAACAGAAATGTAATGAGCACTGAAAACCTGTTCCTGATGGCTGACTATATGTCCAGGAACAGAAAGAGACTTAGGGAAGCCCAGAGAATTGGCAATAACTTGTTTATGGGATGGGCTTTCAAAAAAAAATTCCGTCTTTTCTTTCTGTGGTAGAGGAATCTAGCCAGAGTGAAAAAAGAAATCTAGTCAACCAAGAAACTACTCAATGGTAGTTCTCGCTCTTCTTCCTTCTTTGATTTGTGAACATAGCTAATTAGTTACTACTGATTAATCACACATAAAAAGCTCTGATGGGATTAGGTGCAGGGGAGAACTATGCAGAGTCCAGAGGAAATGAACAAAACAATTTCAATTCAGTACAAGATACTGGTGCAACCTGAATTTTATGTCAGATTCACTATGGAATTACTGTCAGGTCACTGGAACTCAAGTGTTCCAAAAAGCACATTAAAATACTGAGTTTTTAAGTGAGAAAATTTGAGGATGGATGGTCATCAGAACCTTAACTTAATCTAGTCTCATTTTGATAGAAATTTAAATATCCCTATATATTTTCATTTTGTGATATGAAAACAAAAGCAAATTTCAAGCTGTTTTTATTCATGGTGCACACTGTGTTTTTAGTAAGATATGCTTTTCCTTGGCTTTATGATATGTTAAAAAGCTGAAAATACCATGTCAGAACCACCAAACTGGGTAGTGCCCAGTCTTGTTAACAGTGATGGTGCTCATTCCTAGCTTGAGATCTGGTGTGTTGGCGGATCTTAAATTGGAAGTGGCCCTGGGCTTGGTTTAAATTTTCTCTGATCAGCTTATTTAAAGGAAGCTCAGTTGCCTTGTTAGCTTTGCAGCTCTGCTCTCCTATTTCTCTGCGGACTATTGCAGCTATTTTAAGTTCAAATTGTTGTTTCAGAAATCATTTATGCTGGAGAATGAATTTTTATTTTATTCACAATGCTCATGATCGAAAAATTTTGAGTAATCAGTCTTAAAACATTTGAAATGTTTAACAACTGGTACCACATGAAACTACAAATAATTTCTGTTGAACATCAGGTTTAATTTAAAAAAAATCCAGTATTTAAATGTTTGTAAAAAATAAGATTTTGATACTAAAGAACATATTCTCCACGTTTGTGCAAGAAATCAAAGATAATTTGATTTTTCTTGAACAGGGGAAAGCAGTAGATCATGCATGGTAATATTATTTGGTGATACTGTCAGGTGTTTTTAAGGATATTAAAATGCGTATTTGGCTTTAGCAAGCTGACAAAAATTAACAACAACAACCTGGGAAGTCAGGTGCACTTTCACTCTTAAGTTCGTGGGCGCTTCAAGAAAATGAAACCATGAGCTGTCAAAAATGGTGGAAAGTAGTTTTCTGTCATTAAAATTAATTTCTGCTTATGTGTAAACAAACACATCTATTCAGTTTCATAAGCTAGCACTTAATGTTGCATAACACATTTTTAACCTGACAGTGTCCCTGAATTATCATGTCTGTTTGCTTTCATTTTCCAGCTGGGTTTTAATTTTGCATGCATTTTAGTGTAATATAGTATGCATAATAGTTGTTTCCTGGAAGCATTTTGGGGCTGTCTCTGCTAGTGTTCTCCAAAATGAGCAAGGTAGAGGAATTAATTTTCCTTTTGTGGAGGTTTGATAGTTAATAAATAAGTAATACAGAAGTGGTTCCACTTCATTTACATATATGCTTATGTGGTTTTGAACTTAATGTTGTTTGAAGAATAGCTGTAAGTAGTAGGGCTCCCTTCTTTTTAATGACACCCAAACAACTCCAACATTTAGTAGAGCTAAATATTTCTATTTTGAGGAAAAAAATTTAAACTCTGGTTAGTTTGGCAAAGCAATTTGTAATGTGTAATGCTTGTCCTTAGGTTATCATAGGAGCCTCTGTGAAGCTGGTTTTTTGAAGTAATGCCAATAGAAAGTGGAAGTTGTGCATCTGCTCGCCAAGCAAAGCAGAAACGTAAATCGCACAGTCTTTCAATCCGAAGAACCAACAGTTCCGAGCAAGAACGGGCAGGACTGCAGAGAGACATGTTGGAAGGGCAGGTAAGATAATTCACTGCTGCTTGGGTGACTTACGTAACATTTTGAGGAGTGTTTTCTGTGCAAAGAAATTAAATGATGGAGTAAGTCCAGTAAAGCTGCAGGAACAGCAGACTTTGTTGCTTATAAGTGCTGACTGCCTTTGGATACTATTGATGTGGATGTTGACAGTGTTTCAGGTTGGATTTCGGGTTTTTATCAGCTTCTGTGCATTCTTATGATTGGTAAAACCATGAAGAAATACAAAGAAACCGTCTATTTATTTCACTGCGTCTCCTCTCCCACCTCTTAAAGCTGAAGATTGGTTCTTGATTTCCTAAGTTTGAGTTTGGAATAGTAGTAACCCGGGAATATAAATAAACTGAAATATTTATTAGGGATCTGATAGGGAAGGTATTAGTGGGAACACTCTTCTGCATTCCTTTCCATAAAGTAAATACTCTCTGCTTGACAGAGGCGTGAGCTAACTTTGATATTTGTTTGTGGGTTTGTTTTTTTAAATTTGGCTGAAGGTGT